AATTTCAGCATCGAGAAACATAATTTTAAAAGGTCTTCTGTGGAAAGAACCACAACAGAAAAGGCAATGGGTTCTTTGAGGAGTAGGTGGAGAAATTCCCTGCCATTGGTAAAGGTAATTACAGGCAGGAATTCTAAGGATGAAAACATTCTGCACACGGAGCTTCGTGCCGTACAGCAGAATCACCAAACAAACTCCAAAGGAATGAAGCCTAACTTGCTCACCACATCCCAATGCCAGTTAGAAGCAATTTCGAGAGATAGACAAAAGATTTTAGTTAAAGGTTTTCAAATATCTTCCCAATGAGAAGTATCATATCACAAATAAATGTTATTACACACATTCAAAAACGCGTTTTTTCTTGATAAGCCAAACTAGTTTCAACAGTGGTTATACAAGATTGAATAAAAGAATGTGTAAACACAGGACTAATTGCTTAATTAATGTGTGAGCAAAAGTGAACAGCATGACTGGGATCAGTAGGATCTACATGCGTTTCATGTGGGTCAAAAAACCTTGGCGTGAATTGGTTCCTCATAAAATTAATTTCCTTTGGTTTGTTGTAATAGGAGCATTCAGAGAAGTAAAAGCAGTGGTATGAATGCAGTCCCATAATCTGTTCACTGAGTGAGCTTTTTGAGTGCTACATAAAGCAGCTTCCGAGCAGTCACCACTGCACTTGAAAAACTCCACATCCTTTTACTCATAAATTAGTAAGAAGTTTGGAAATGTCACCATATATGTTCACCATTACTAAGTGTAAATCTGCAATTTAAATAGCTCATTTCAGCGGATGCACTTTTTTTAGAAGGCAGATCAAAATATCTGATTCGATTCAGTAATTCTAAACACGTGGGAGCGTGAACTGAAGATGCCTTGAAAGCGACTTCAGGAATCTCTTGCTGTAGGATCATCACTGGGTTCTGAATGTGATCATCACTAAACAGCAATTTGCAGAGTGGATCCGCTTCCAGTTTAAGGTGTATGAAACACACCCATCACTGAACTCTAACACACCACCATCATCTGGAACATGGGCAGAATTCAGTAGCAGCACAGGGAATTCCAGGACCTCGGGTGTGAGGATAAGCACACAGCCCAGCCATGCTCCCCCACCTCAATGGCAGAGCTGCATGCTTGCTGCTGCTCCCCAGCACTGGTTGCTACCTGTGGCAGGGCAGCAGCCTTCCTCAGACCAGCACAGCCCTTCTGCCATGCAGGAGCAGGATGAGGTACAGATGGGACTGCAGCAGAGCTGGTTTGTTAAACCTCCACACAAACCAGCATGAAAATCCCCAAAAGAGGTACAACCAGCAGCTACTTCAGTTGTTCATTGTGAACGTGGACCAACATCACTATCATGGTTTCTACTGTAAATCCACACGAAGGAACATTAAACATGTACTATCCTAAAAGGGTGACAATTACTTTGTGTGTGTGGCAAATATTAGACAGCAAGTAGCATAATTATATTATAATTATATTTCCTATAAGGGCTTTTAAATTGCAATCAATAGAAGTGATGAAAGACAAATGAAAGAGTAAAACATCACAGCCTATTTAGGGTGAAGTTCAAAAAAATCTAGCACAACTCATGAATTTCAGTTCACAGATATCGACAGCAATGCCAGCTTTCATACAGCAGCAGTTAAGAAAGTAAATTAAAAACATGCACTCTGCTTTGTTCCGGGGAAAGATGCAGCCTCTTTGCTCCACAGTGATGGAGGCAGCAGACAGAACTTCTGTTTTCTGCTACAGAGTGTACTTTACAAAAAAATTTCTGCTCACACACACCATGTTCTTCTTCGTTAACTTAACACTGCAAGTTTAGAGAAAGAAAAAAAAGACACTGATTTAGTGTCCATATTTTTCATAACTCCAAGCTATGTTGCTTTGCTTGATCTTTCATGGTAAGACTATATGGGTTACTCAAACCTAAGTCAAAATATACCCTCTTAGAAATAAAGAAATTGAAGTTAAAAATCTCACCATCTCTTGCATTTTTTTAATCCTCATCCTGGGATCTATGATACCCTGGGAATGTTGCACAGCATTCTGCTAAGAGCTCTAGGAGAGCAATGCTCACATGTCTCTTCATTTTCCAAGAGTCAGATTACCACTTGGCCATCAGCTCTTCAGTTAAGCAATGAAGACGACTTTTAAACTTTTGGTGAACAAGGATCTTTTTCAGATTTGAACACTGCAGAAATAAGTCTGCTTCCTCAGCTTGAGAAAGATGGTTCTGAAAGTACCACCAAAGTCCCTGGAAGTAAACCCGAACCAGCAAATGGCACAGACTCTATTCCCAGCAAAGCTCAGGGGAAAAAAAAGAAAAGAAAAAAAAAGAAGTGAGGGTCAGTCTGGAAAATATAGCACTGGATTTTTTTTTATTTTTTTTTTAATGTCATTTGTACAGGAAAAAATGTAGCAGCAAGATAAATTTGTTCCTCCCAATGACACAGCTTGTAAGGGTGTGTGACTCCACACAGCCTGGCCCTGTCCTCAGCAACTACAGCTTCATTGATCAGTTCCTCAGATGACTTGTGAAGAACCTGCTTCTTAAATACATGGCTTTTAATAAAGCATCAGTAGGAAGAGGAATATAAAAGATCATGACAAGCAAGTTTACTTCAAGTTAGTAACTTCTTTCTTTAAAAGCAGCCAGTAATGATGTCTACTCCTGATTCAGTGCAAGCAAGCCATGGGGGCTCACTGAACAGCTGTGGGATTAAGTCCTTAATACATTGGCTGCTACACTGAAATGGTTTAAAATACACAGCTTTCTCTGGAGTAAGACTCCACACGAGACAATCACACACACAAACCAACCAACCCCACTTTCAAGTTGCCATCCAATGTTCCAACGTGAGTCCTCAAACGTATTCCCTTTTTGCTCATTTTCTCCATCTAACATACTCCCTATTAATCACTTCCATGCTGCTAAGGATCACTAAGAAAGCTCACACGCTTGTACACATTTTGTGGCATTTAGACAGCACAAAGATTACATTAATCTAATTTTCCAAACATATGCTGTCTTTAGAAGGAAATCAGGAACTGGAAATCTCAACAGGGGCTGTGAGTCCTTTGGAAAACAGCAGGACAACCTCACAAACAGGAACTCTCCTCACACTGATCTGTACAATAGCACTCGACTATTACATGTTTTCATGATTGGCAATATGCTTCCATTTCTGAAATGTTCTCACTTGCCTTAAAAAAAAGAGCCAAAGTAGTGCGCTTAAAATAGCTGGAAAACAGCTGTTGGATTTTTCACAGAACGAGGATTTATGCTCATTCTACACATGGTGCACACCAGCCATTAGATAATACACAGTTACAGCTACAGAAAGCGTGCCTTCCCAATACAGCCTGTCTTGCTAATAACACACCAATAAAACATTCCCTTTGCATGAATTCCACAAGCATTATTTCTGCTTTGCTTGGGTTCTGTTCTGTTGTTTACTTCAACAAAACCACAACCATTTGGACAGAAGAGGCTTTGCTCACATGCACGAAGTTTCTCATCCCTGTGGCCGTCCAACCATTGGAACCCTTTGCTGTAAATGTGGAAATCATTCTCCTCCTGTCAGCGTTAGGGCCTTCTGACAGCATTACGTTTCTCTGATGACTGCAGAGTCAATGCTTCACACGGAGAGCACTTTTGCAGACTTGTACTTACCTCAGTTCAGCTCCCTGTATTAAATCTGGTTTATAATATTTAAAATGTTTCAAAGAACTGCATCTTGCAGTTATCTTAGATAGCTACATACAAATCAATGCCTACCAATCACCAGATAAAACACATTGATTTACTATTTGAAAACGCATTTTCCAAATATGAACAAAGCATTCACGCCTCTGGCAAACAACTTTTCCAAAACGATCCTCTGCTCCCTTTATTGTGAGGCAGATACTGCCTTCTGCTCAGCAAGGCAGACGCCTGCAGAAGGCAGCCCGCTTTGGTTTCACCATAAACAAAGCCACGAAGATCAGCCATTCAATAACCAGCAAAAGATTCACACAAATGCTGGAGGAAAAAAAAAAAAAAAAAAGCCAACAACACAAAAGCCCTGGCAAGAGCTGCCCCTACATAAGGAATCCTCTCAAAAGGTCTTTTGCTCAGTAATTCAATGCACGAACAGGGAGGGACCTCAGAAACTGGGGAAGCGGAGCCCGCCTGTCCTGGGTTACGTGGACACGCAGAGAGAAACACACGGAGTCGCATTCAAAATCACCAAACAGACGCACCTTAAGTAACATTTCAAAACAATCCGTTCTCTATCTAAAACTTTATTGGAACTGATCCGGTTTCCAAAGCGCGTTTAAAAGCAAGCAAACGCAGTCGATAGGCGGTGGGGATGCGCCGTCCTTCCCGCGGCTCCCCGCACCATTCCCTGCTGCCGGCCGGGACGCTGCGAGCGGAGCGCTTTGTGCTCAGCTCCCATTGTGCGATCCCCGGGCAGTGCGGGACCGGAGCACAACCGTTATCTAGCAGTTGTAAAACCCCATTCTTTCCCTATTTGTTCGGTTTTTTGCTCACCTAGCAGTTGTAAAACCCCATTCTTTCCCTATTTGTTCGGTTTTTTTTTGCTCACCTCCCGTTACAATTATCCGCGCTGCGCGGATTTATCACAGCTTCGTTCTCCTCCTCCGTGCCGCCAGCCCAGCGGGGCTCGCGAAGAAACGCTTCACGCCGCCCTCGTTGCCCAGCGCTGCACAAAGCGCCGCAGCTCACCCCCAGCTCCCCGCCCGCAGACTTTCCGCACTCGGAACGGATCCCCTCCGCTCCCTCGTTACGCTGCAGCCCTCAGACGGAGCAGAGCAGCGCGGTCGGGGTCAGGGGGCGGTGGGGAAGCGCTCGGCTCGCGGCCACCGCAGCCCCGCCGCCCCTCAGGACGCCCCGCGCCCGTCCCGCTCTCGGCTGGGATCTTCCCGCCCCCCCCCTCCCCCGGGTCCCCTCGGCGCCTCGCGCTCCGGACCCCCGGCCCCGCACTCACTACTTGTAGAGCTGCTGCAGGCAGAGGTCCAGGCACTCGCCCTCCACCTCCTCCTCCGTGATGTACTCCGACAGCGGCCGGGGCAGCGGGGGCAGCGGCGGGGGGGGCGGCGGCGGGGTGGGCGGCCGAGGGTCCGCGGCGTCTCCTTCCTCCGCCTCGGCGGCCGCCGCCTCTCCCTCAGCCCCGGGGTCCTCCTCGGAGGCGGCGGTGTCGGCGGCGTCGGCGGCGGGAGGGGGGGGAGCCGGCGCCGGCTCTGGCTCTGCCCCGAAGGGCCCGCGGAACTCTCCCAAGAACAGCTCGAGGAAACGGCGGTAGCTCTTCTCCTCCGCGCCGCCTCCTCCGCCGCTACTGCCCGAGCCGCCCGCGGCCATCGCTTCGCATTCCCGAGCCGCCCGCCGGCGGATCAGCACTGCGCCCGCAGAGAGCTCCCTGCCCGCCGCCGCCGGCTGCCGCCTCCCGCCCGCCCGCCTGCGCGCGCGCTCCCGAGCAGGACCTGCGGGGGCGCGCACGCCGCGGGGGGGGAAGGGGGGAGGCGCGCGCGCGCGCCTCAGAGGCGGGAACGCGGCCGAGCGCTGAGGGGGCCGAGGTGGAGGCGGGAAGGGAGGGGAGGGCCGGGGGCGAGCAGACGGAGTGCGGCCGCGCCGATGTGATGAGTCACGCGAAGACAGCCAGACGCGTAGGTTCCTCACAGGAACCCGGAGGAAACATGAGAGTGCGTTCCTTATTACCTAATCCCCGCCTCAGGATTTCCCTACGCTCATCGTTTCCGCCGCCGCTGTCGCCTACCGCGGGCTCTGACGGGACGGGGCGGCGGAGCGGAGCGGAGCGGAGCCCCAGGGGGCCGCTTTCCAGAAAAGGCTTTGCGAGCAGAGCCGATTTCTGTGAGGAAAACGAGCGCTCTGGAGCCCCCGAGGGGATGAGGGGCATCCCCGGGCCGGAGAGCGGCCGCTCTGCTGAGCTCCGCCTGACGGGCCGGCTGTGACGCAGCGCGGTCGGCGTGTGGTGGCGGGGCGATCGTAGGCACACAGCGCCCACAGCGCCCGGCCGATGAGCGCCCGCCGTTCGCGGAAGGCGTTTCTCGGCTTGTTTTATTCGCTGCTGGCAGAAAGCTGCTCTCAGAGCTGTGGGGTCGGTAAATATCAGCGTTGAGCAGCTCTGATGGTCTTAGGGTTAAAACAGCTTGAGCACGGGGGGAGGAATGACACCCCGAAAGTCTGCTGCGCCCTGAAAAAATGGCCACGTGCGGAACTATTCCTAAACGTGAAGGATTGGGGCGAGGAACCTGTTGTTCTCCGCCTGGCAGGCGTTGCTGCGGTGCCCCTGCCCTGCTCTGGGCACGGTTACTTCGGAGCCAAACTGATTGCAGTGTTTGCAGTGTTTCCATCGGCTGATCGCACTGCAATCTTGTGAATATGTAAAAGCCCCGAGAGTTAAAACTGCCATTTGTCACAGTTGGTCTTCCGCTGCCAAAAGCTCTTAAGGCGGCAGCAAATGGCACGGCTTCTCCCCAGAGCATCCCTCAAAGTGCGTCCGTCACTCTGCCGGCTACGTGTTTTCAGTGTAACGTTATTTAAGGATGCCAGGTCGAGCTGAGGGGTACAAATGATTGCAGCTCTTTCTGAAGAGGCAGCCCGTGGCTGCAGCTGATGACATCATTGCTTTTTTCTTTTTCTTTTTTTTTCTTCTTTCTTTAGGTTTGTACTGCATCATCCGTGAGTCACAGCCCTCGGGAGAATGCGTTTCAGTGCAAGCATCCGAAATAACAGTTGTGAGTTCATTATTAGCTGTTATTCAGTAGTAATTCGGAGACAGTCGGAGTTCCCAAGAAACTGTGATCTAGATAATCTTCAAGGAAAAAGCAGCATCAACAAGATGTATGATAAGCTGCATGTTGTATGACAAAAAGCAATTAAGCTATCCAAGAAAAGATTTTAAAAGCATCTTAGATAGTTGTCTTTTTGTTGTTGTTGTTGTTAATTGTGTATTTCTAATTGTTTAAAACTGAAGTATATCTGAGAGTAATACCTCCTGTTTCACAGTGAAATGTTAGTTACCAGATGTCCTTGATTCATCTTGGCAGTCCCATGTGCTTTTCATCATTTGTCCCATTGCAAAGGATGCTGCTTAAAATGAATAGAGTAGAACTTTGTACTCGGGATACTTTGTCAAATTTTGGCACTGTGGTCGTGTTAATATTGTTTTGTTTTGGTATTCAGTCAAGAACTTATGGCCTTAAGCCATGCCAATGTTTGTTTCTGGGAGGGAAGGTGAAAAACCATTCTTATTAACCTGCAGTGTGGAACATATGGTAACTGTGGGTGGTAGGGCTAAGTCAGGCAGCCAGGAATCTGCTCTCACTTCGCTGTGCAGACACAGCGGGGTGGGCAATTGCCACAGAAGGTGACCAGAGTGCTCTGTGCTGCTGTCCAGAAAAGGAAGCTCTACATGTAACGTATTATCAAGTAAAGCTCTAATCGGTGGGAGGTGTGTTTGGGACTATTAGAGAATGCTTTTAGTGTTTAGTAACTCTGGAAGCTAAAATTAGAATGCTTGCCTGGGTTGCTGGGTAGCAGCAGCATGAATGGTTCCTGTGTGCTGAGGTCAGGTGAATGAAAGAAACTCAAAACTCATAAAGTTTTGAGTCTGAAATTGTTGGTTTGCATCTTATTGTCAAAAGAAGATAAGGCTTGCACCTGACCTGAGAAGGAAATGCGTGTGTTTGTATTCTGTTTTGTTTCATCCTGTTGTGTTTTAAGAAGGTTTTACAGTCCCATGTTAGAAAAAGATTGTTTTATTTTAGTCTTGAAAATGTATCTTCCTCTTTCTTGTTATACTGGTGAGAAATAAGCAGGATTTAGGCAGGCCTCGGGGAGGTGACCTGAATAGTATGGAGTGCAAGGAGAAGTGCTTTTTAATTCTGTGTAACCTTTGGAAGTAATTCTTCTGCACTGACAAGTAGGAAACAAAAAAAGATGGTTGTTGAAAAGCATTTGACAATAATATACCTGTGTTGTATGTTCTGATACTGTATGAAGGAGTATAATGGGAAAACCTAATGGTGAATAAATTGCTGTCAAAGGTGATCTCTTAAAAATGCAGGGCTCCTGTAGTAAACCAGAGGTAATTTTAGAAGCTGTATTCTGTTTTCCTGGTCAGATGAAACCATCAGAAATGCATGTATTTCAAAGCCTTTGACTGCTCTCATTTCAAAAGCAATTCTACTGTGGAATTTCCTGCAGTGTTGTATATGGGATAATATATGAAATTATACTTGTAATATGCTGCTGGAAGAGCTTAAAATTCTGTGTATTCATATGATCAATATCTGTCACCTTGTGAATGTGAATACAAGCCTGCATTCTTGTTATAGCTCTTAAAACTCAATGATCTTATTATTGTTCAATTTCACTAAAATAATTTCAATTGTTTAAGAGTAAGAACAGTGAGAATTTTGAAGGAATACAGTGAGAAGGCTCTTGTTAACAAGCTTCATCAAGCTCTAATTGATTTTCTTAGCTTCAGCCTTTGCTCCTTTGCAGTTTGAAATAGCACAGTATCTTCAGTCACCACAACTGTGCTGGAACCTTCACCATAGAATGACTTAACAGTTATAAATTAACAGTTATTCTATTCAAATGTTCCTATGAACCAAAGTCTCTCTTCCTCTCACGGTTTTTGGGGCCAAGTCAGCTTTTTGAGTTTATTATTCATTGACTATTTTGAGATAACCAGGTTCATTGCAAAATACAGATTTCGGGCCCAAATCCCACTTCCAGCTATCATGGAAATTTCCAGTCCCATTCTAAAGGAAAATTCCATTTTTCAGTATTCCACTCATACCCTCGCTTAGGAAAGGGGTTCTTTTGAATAGCAATAGTGAGAAATAGGATATTGGTCTGTGCCTGGTTAGTTAGACTTGGAAATCTGTTGGAGAAAAGTATGTGGAAAAAAGAACAAATGAAAAGCTGGGCCTTTCAAAGTGATGGGACGTGCCTGGAACAATGTCAGAGCAGACATAGCAAGATATAGCACAACATACCTTGTTTTCCATTAACAAAGGTCATTTGTTGCATCATAAAATCTTTGACTGACTGATTGAAGTGTGCCTGTAGATTAGTGCCCATGGATTTACCTCAGCAAAACACGGCTGACCACATGTAACAATAATGTGGTCTGGATGTTGTCAAATCATGAGATACCTTGCAGGCAGGAGCACACCACAGTCCAATAACTTGTTAAGGTTGATCCACTTCAGCTATCAGTCACTCTTCATTATCATAATTTCCTTTTACTGCTAAATGCAGCTGAAGGGTGCAGACCTCCTGGATATCAGCAAACAACAGACTTCACTGACGTTGTTTCTGTGCCAGGCTCTTCCTCTATACTTTCCATTTTTGTAGCATACTTCATCTGCGGCTGACGTCCAACAGCACCATACTGTGTGAATGTAGCACTACTGGAATTTCTAAGCCTGAAGCTCACTTTTGTTCAGCAGAGGCAATAAAAAGACCGTATGCCACTTAAATCACATTTACACTCTGTTCAGGGAGTTTCACAGCGTGTGCATATTCTGACCTTCCAGGATAGAGGTGAAGTTCATTCTAAAATGAAAACAAAGTGTAAGCCAGGCTCGTTAAGGTGCCTGGTGGGATTTAAGGCTTACTTTAAATGACTTATCGACATCTTACTGCAGATTCAATTCTTGATTCTGTAATATCCTTCTCCAGTCACGAGACTTTAAATTTTACAGTCACTTCCTTAGAAATGCCTTTTAAAAAAAGGGAAAGAAAAGCAAAAAGAAAAAATATCATTGAATTCCATGAGTACCGCCATGCAATCACTACTGTGGCCATACAGGCATTATGTTTATAATACACGTGCTATAAAAGTACAGTTAAAATCTGTAGGATTCACAGACTTGAAAATAGGTATGCTAATTTCCTTTGAACAACCTCAAATAATGTGCTTCAGTGATAGGAGTTTGGGTTAACTATACGAAATGAATGAATGAATGAATGACTTTAAAGAGAGACATTTATGTAATTCCTCCCATAACATTTTATAGTCAAATGTGCAGTGAGCCTGCATAGTGAAAAAAGGTGTGACAAATAATGTTCCAATCTCCTGCTGACTATCTCTCACTGTAAAGGCATAATTTCTATGCTAAGGAGACAACTTGTTCTCCAGCCCAAAACAGTTTATTTTAGCAACATATATAATGAAAACTGAATCACTAAGGAAATGTAGTTGTAACTATGTTGCTAAAAGTGCAGTGGTTCACACTAAATAAATTAGAGTATTAGGAGTACACAAGTTGTAAATTTAGAAGTCCAAAATAAAGTCATGTGAGATACCATGCTGAGCATGTATTCAAACAATGTGCCTGGAGGCTGTGAAAAAAACACCCACATCCAGTTAGAACCATTTATTGCGGCCCATAGTTTCTGTTTTGTGCTCCTATCTACGTTACTTGATATTTTATATTTTCAACACTGCCCCTTCTCATTGTTTGAAACTGAAATCTAATTATTTTTTTTTATCCTGATGCTTCTCAAGCTCCATTTAAATCAGTGGCAAGGATTTTTAATTAAAATAAATTAACATTACTAGCTATAATTCTTGAAGTGTGACTTCAGGAAAATACATATTTTTCAATGCATCCTTTTGGCATATAATCTAACTTTATGCTGCTTATGTAGTGATTGAATGATTGCTCTTAATGCTATACATTAATTCTGTAGATTGTTACAACTGTGTGGAGCTTATTAGCTCTAATAAATAGATTGGGCATACTGTACAAATACTCCTTGCTTGCAGGGAGCAAAATGGTAGCTTACAATTTAACAGTGGGTGCATTTGTGGGTGAAATTCAGAACTGGGAAGTGGGCCAGTTCCCAGTGATTTCATTTTTCAGTATAGAGCATCAGTGCAGAAATCTTTCACTGGCGAAGGCAAGCCAACTTTCCTGACCCTAATGGTCCAAAATCGCTCTATGGCCGGGAGCCACAAGACACTGAGTACGTAGCTTTGGGAGCCAGGGAGAGGGGAAGCCCAGGAGCAGGGAGCAGCTGGCACTGGTTCCCAGTCACAGGGAAGGCTGGTGTGGAGGAGGCCTGGGCAGGCTGCTTGGCAGCCCTGTGACAATGCCAAATTCAGCAGCCGGTGGCCCATGTTCCCCTACCATGAGGTGGCACTTGGAATGGTTGGGAACCACAGGTTAATTTCTCTAGTTCTTGTACTGTGAAGAGAAGTACAATTTCCCTTATATATTCTGTTGTAGTATTTGTATTACTGCAACGTAACCGCTCCATTTAATTTCCATCTAGCTACTCTGTTGTAGGGCAAAAAAGTGTCAAACCTTAAGTTAAAGATATTTCATATAAAGTTAACAGATGTTAAAGCAATATAATATAAATTCATGTGCCTTTCTAAATAATCATGGTCCTGAGCATGAGGCAATCACTTCTGAGAAGCTGGAACACAGTTATTTGTCCTTCCAGCTGACGTATCTTTTCTTGTTCAGAAAAAGGGTGGAGATAGAAAAGGAGGAAGTAAAGATTTCACCTTTGTCATTAATCCATGAAATGCCTTTGGATAAATCTCATTCTGAATTTAGTGACTAAAAGAACAGTGACTGAAATTCAACAGAAAAATAGATGTTTCTCTCCAAGCTGTGTTTGACATTTGGGTTAGCAGCTCAGCATCCATCCACATTAGTCAACCAGTTTGTAACTGACTTTAATGCAAAGCTGTTTGGCTGCATAACTTGAACCTTGGTTACATCTTCTTGTCTTCCATTAAGCTATTTCATCTCTAGGTTTTCTTAGTAATATTCTACATAGAATTTGGTTGGGTTCTCAGTGTCTCATAATGGAAAAGGCACAGAACACATGAAATCAGGAAGAAATAAATTATTTTCCATATCCAAACTGAAGAGTTTCAGAGCACGATTCTGGGCTTGGGAAGTGTCTCCTAACCACAATGTTTTCTTGTTGCCAGGCCTTGTGGTACATACTGTGTTCTTGTTGTGGTGACAGACTAAGTTCCTACACCACAAGTAAATGTCAACCCTACAAAACTGAACAATATTAAACTCAGCATGACAGTTAAATCTGCTGCCTTTCAGAACAGTGGAACTTCAGCAACAAACCAGACGACCTATTTTAGTTTTGATTCATTGCCACAAAGTAGCTAGCTAGAATCTTACTTCTTGAGCAGTCATAAAATTCTCTTCTGCTGCACACTGTTGTGCACTGGCGCTCTGAAATGCAGAATTCCAGGCACATATAAGAAAATACCAACTTGCTGTGGAAGATTTATTGGTAAGGCAATGGTCAAATCATTTCTTTATACGCAGTTCTAAGCCTGGAACAGCTTCCTTCCTTCTCTCCAGCAGATGAGAACAAAATCTGGCTCATTTAATCTAATTTTGTCTCCGCCAACAGATCCTTCTATCTAGTTCTGGTCTGCAGAGCTGATTTTTAATATAACTTCAATTAAAGTAAATATATAAATAAATCTCAGCATAGACAGCTTCCAATATTTCTCTGGATGTTTTATAACTCCCTCTGTTACACAAATAACTACTTTTTTTTTTTTTTTTTTTACTTCCCCCCCCCCCTTTTTTTTTGGCATCTATGGCATCTGGAATACTGGAAGATCTAACATTTGCTTGGCCAAAAAGATCTGCCTTGGTATAACAGGATCAGCATTCAGCTGGGGCTTCTGGATGCTATTCTACTACAAACAAAATAAAAAGAACAGTCAGATGAAATGAACGGTATGTTGGATATGTCTTTGCACATGTAAGGATGTGCTGAGGATATTAAATCAAAACAATATATTGACAGAAATGGATGTTTTCATAAGTACCAAACAGATCAGGTAGCAGCCATCACTGGTAGCCAGCAGCGCTCCTTAAATACTGCTACGCCATTCGTGGTGCATGGTTTTCCTTGTGCCTACGTAAGCATGTGCACTGTGCTGGCTCCCCCTCCTGCACTGCAATACGTAGGAAGCTATTATTCCCAAATGGAGCATTTGCTTGCTGACATCACATGCAGTAGGACCCTTTTGTTTGCCTGTGTCTCCTGCACTGAAATGTTTGCCTGAGTCACGCATCCCGCTGCCTTTCTTCCTCTCTGTCATGCTTGCTTGAGAGCTTCTCCCTGACTCATGGTTTTAAAATTTTGATAGAGCCCGGTTTGCTGTATGGCAACTGACTACTTTTCCTTTTAATATTTTATTATGTAAATTATATCTTAAAACTATAATGATCCAAAAATCACTGTCACTTTTTTTTTTTTTTATTGCAGCTTTTTAAATAGAGAGCTTTTGTGACTCAGATTCAGTGCTGAATTTTGTTTCAAGGCAAAGTCAGTTCAGCGTTACTAAATTAAAAATTAAAGACAGTGACTCCCACAACTTGAATTTCCCATTTACTCTTCTGGCTGAATTTCCTCAGCTATAACATTATCAAACTGTGCCAGAAAGGGGGTCAGATGCATGCTTATGTACTGACAAATGATTCTCACAACTGAAGAAATTACCGTTTTGCACTGCAGTACCTTTTTTCTCCTCAAATAATCTTATTGATTTGTTTCCTGTTAATAAAAAAGGACAAATCCCTGCTGTTTTTTCAGTGGATAATCATTCATTTAGTTTAGATTCTGAAGCTGCTAATATACTGCTGGTGTCTAAGAAGCCTAGGTCTCCTCTTTGTTAAATGAAAGCCACAAACAAAGCACGTTCCAATTACAGAATTTTCACTCTGAATGCTTTGGTAAAAGAATATGGAAAGCTAAGGGCTGAACAGCAGTTTGGCTCAAGCTTGAGTAGTGATAGAACATTCTCACTTACCAAAATAGAAACATAAAATTGCATTAAATTTTTTGTCCTTCAAATCTAGCCTTTTTGTCTCTACTGCTATCAACACAAGATAAATGAGAAGTTCAAAACAGTGCTTGACTGCCCTTGATCAAGGACTTAGCAGCAGGTAAGGGCTAACGCCCCATTCTGGCATAGCATTAAAGCACGCATTTATCTTAAAGCATCTCTCAGCAGCTCCACAGCTTTCTGCCCTGATTTGAGGCACCTGAGCAGATTGCTGCATGGAACCTTGTTAAAATTCAGATGCACACAGAAACAGATGACTGATCAAGAACTGTGTCATTAAACACACTGCACTGGATCCTTGCATTTCCTGTTGTTGTTTGTTTGTTTTTTTTTTAACCCCAAGCAGTTGTATCCTTCATCTCAAAAAAAGCTGAAGCCTCATCATATAAAATAGATTTTATTATAAAAGTAAAATTATGCCATACACAGATAATTTTTCTGCCAGAAAAAATTTCATATTATAGTTTTAACAATAAAATAAAGTCCAGAGTAGGAATTTAAAGAACCTCTCAGGCAGCCTCTGGCTGCATGCTCTCTCCATGGTTGTTCCCATGCAGCAAGCTTTTTGTAATGGTTCTTTTGAATCACTATTGTTTTTCCTCTTCTCTCCGTGGCCGTTTGCGAGGGTTCATTTCAGTACCTTCTGCATTTTGGGTGACAGGTGGAGGCTGCACATCTCGGAAGCCCTGAGGCTGTAATATATAAGTAAAAATCACGTGGTATTACTTCTATAGATACAGAGCATGAGTAACTCTAGTTCCCAGAAGACCAGAATGAGGCATGATGCTATCATTTATTTTAAAAGAGTGGATGCAGAATGCTTCTAGATGAGGTTAAGCTCAGCATTGAAAGGTTTTCAACACAGGTGGCCACTAGTTACTGTCCCTGCTTCCTTTCACCAACAAGGCTACCATTTGCATTTTACTCTAACAATCCCTGACTACGTAACGGTGCTTTTCTGCAAATTAATTTATGCTGCTTATTTAAATAAATTAAAAGCCAAATCCTTCAGCCCAGATTCAAGCCAAACTTCTGCAGAAGCAAGGAGATGACCACTGGATTAACTGCCTCAGCCATCTTCAGAAACAACACTGAAAATCTTCTAAGACCTCTTTGTGTTTCATGCATCTATTTAATGAACTGAAAGCACTGAGGAGAGCTTGTAAGAGAAGTGGATACCTCATTTGGCCTTTGCAGTCAGCAGGGACAGTCCCAGAATAGTAATTTATGGGACACAATGGGCTGGGTACCTTTAACTGCCAAAACCTAAATGCAGAATTGAAAACTAGATGCTGCTACATAGTAGAGAGCTTAAGGAGAGCTTAGTTCCATTGGTATTTTCTGTTACATTACCTCACAGTTTGATGATCTTACAAGATTTTAGAAGATGGAAGATCTGAAAAATGAGTTAGCTAAATGTCATCAGTTATTACATAACATTGAGACGTTATGTGAAGCCTTCAACTGCCTTATCTCCAAATGCTGTGTAGGGAGCACTGTTGACAGCTGAGTGAAGGACTCGCTGTACTGCAGACTCAAGAGAGGAAAAAGTGTTAATCAGAAAAAGAAACTGTTCTGAGGATCCTAAGTGCTCAGGTTGAGACAACGCAGGGATGAGCAAACCTCAGGAAGGCTGACACTTCAGGTTAGCGCAGTGTGAAAAATCAGGGAGAATTACTACCAGATGTGTGACTTTTTCAAAATGCCACCATGTCCTGCACCAAGATGAATCCAAGATAAAACCAATCAAAATGTTTTGCTTGTGTCTCGTCTCTGTATTTCTATTTCTAAATGCCTCACCTCACGTAGCCTGCCATGTTTTGAAAGGAACAAACAACAAGAGGTGCCACGAGGGCAGAACCTGTGCGGTCCCTCTGCTATTTTGAGCAACACAAGTGCTATTCTAAATAGCATAATGGGGAATCTTCAAGTTTAGTGTTTCACTGCTGCTTGCATCTAATCTCTGCTATTTCCCTTAGGCACAAAGGTGGATCAAAGCCAAGAATCCACTTAATCTAGCATGCTAGACTCTCAGTAAAAGCATTCCAGTGGCTATAAAGGCCAGAACATGATGAAGCAGGCTACTTAGTATGGACGTTTTGCGTTTAGTTAAAGGCATGTATACAGGCTCTCTCCAGTGAGAAAGAAAACAAGAATTTTGTAAGTACACACAAAGCTTGTTAGCAGTTTTATATGGAGAAAACATGGCTAGCAGAACTAAGGCTGAAAAAAGCTCACTTGGACCTGCATAGCTCCTACCACAGATGTGCTCATCTTGGGTTGTTCTTCAGTGTTTCCTGGCACCTACAGACTACATCAAAACTGATGCCTTTATTACTTTAAAGGCATTCTCATCGTTAGTCTGACAGACCGTCCAAAATTTAGGGAAATATGAACAATTCTTACTCACAATACAAGTTCTGGATCCCTATTTTTCATGATCAAATGATCGGGTCATATTACCTGAGAAATTTAGATGAATCAGATGAGCCATTTACTCCCTTGTGCTTAAATCAATTTACATTTCTATACTTTGCACTTAAGAATGAATCCTCATCAGCCTATGAAAGAATTATTACTGCATTTGATAGGTGTTCCATAGCTTTCAGGCTCGCTCAGACTGGTGGCTGACCTACCAATGTGCTGGAAAAGAAACAGCTGGAAAAGAACTGGAGCTTCAGGCACTCAGTCCCATACTTCTCCATCACAAGCACTGATCAACCAGTTGTCAGAAGTACCAAATATCTGATTTGCACTGAATTTAACAGCAATTATAAGCCTATGCATCTTCAATGTCTTTTTTTTTAGATTGTCTACTGGTTATACACAGATGTCCTGCATCATACTTGGAAGCACTGAACACATATTTACATCTTCCAGTTTAATTACTGAGATGAGAATGAGAAATGGTAACAGCAAACAATTATTATCAGACCTGCTTTTCATGACAGAAAAAGGGATAACACATTTTTTACTTATAGAAACATCTGCTGAAGCATCTCAACAGGACTAAAGGAAAAAACACAGGGATAGTCCGAAGTTGTAACTAATCTTTGATTAACTGTCAACTGTACATCAAGATTGTGTACATTCACATGGATGAAGACAGCATAGCTGTTTTATAATATGTATAAAGCTGAAATAGCAATTAAACTAAGAGAATCCATCTGTTTGGCAGCTGCACAGAGAGGGCTGCACAGCTGCATCACATGATCTAAACAACCTTGGGATGTGGTCCCATTTTCCTGTCCAGTCTTTACAGAACTGATAAATAAATAAGTAAATAAAAATAGTGGGAGCATTTAGAGCTGGAAAAAAAAAACCCTTGAATTCTGCTCAATATCTTGAGGACCTCATTTTAGGGCAGCATTAAAATCTGCAGGAAATGCTATGGCAACGTGTTTCCATGAGGACACAGAGCAAACAGTTATGGCATGTACCTATGTATCTGTCATTTGAAGACACAAGAACTGAGAGTTGTTTTTTAACCTATAAACAGCTTAAACAATATATATTCTCAATATGTATCTAAGCACTCAACAAAAGAAAACAACCACAGGATTACCCTACGGCTGAATAAGGACTCCAGCTGGAATCTCATTATACATAACAACAGAAGAAATAATATGTACTTCTGTATATATGGTCTGGTCAGTAGGACAGAGCTATGAAAGACAGAAGTACAACCTCTGTTTTATCAGGCAATGTACTTAGAGCAGAGATCTGGAGGTCTCTAGAATGCCATGAATGATTCTGGTCACCCTTGCCCTAAAAATGACAAATTGGAACAGATAAAGTTTCCCCAGCCACTGGGGAAACAAACAATCTGACGGGAGAAAGCAGCTTGGCTTCCTGAAGGAAGGCTCTGAGTGCAAGATTCTCGTCTGTAACTGCACTTAGGCCAAGAGTTAAAATGAAGGGCAGATAAACTGTGCAACACAAGGACAAGCAGAAATGGGCACAGGTTGCCTGTAAATCTGATTGTTAATCTGGAAACATCCTGGTATTCCTGGCTACCTTCAGGAAGAAGCTGAAAGGCAACACAAAGAAAGCAAACAGCATTCTCAGGTTTGCCTGCATCTGACAATTTCTTTACTTCCAACACTTTATTCCCATCTCTGTATCTCCATCCCAGAAGAAATACTAACTGTAATGTTATATGGTATGGTTGACTCCTTCTGACTCGGTGATTTGTACAATGTTGCCAACCTGGTTTAAAAAAAACAAACAGTTATTATCTGTGAATACAATAATAAAAAATTATAAGCAACCAAATGACCAGACCCAAGTTTTCCCACAGTCATGTCATAGGTGACCAGTGGAATTTCTGTGTGCGTTTTCACAGTGGTCATATAAATTCTGGGTGCCAAAATCCCATCCCTGTGCAACCTGTCAGCTCAAATACAATTCTACTAACAAAGAGCAATTAATTAGCCTTGCTTCATTATAGTAATTCCTCACCTTCTTGGAACAACGTTAATTCTGAATTAATTTCAAATGTCACTTTCTTAAAATGCAAACAAAAACGATTTTAAGCACAATTCTACTACTCCATAAAGCAACTATTTTTTGCTTGGCCTCTCAACACTGGGAGATACCCTCAAGAATTCAAAAACTTCCAGGGAGTTTTTTTCCTAGGTATTTCACAACCTCACAATATAACCTGGTGGATGCGGAACAAGAACAAAATGTTCTATTTTTAAGCCTGACCTTGCCAGTGACAAACAGCATAACAGGGAGTAAATAGCTTTTCTTCTATTTCTTCTCTAACACTTCCTTGACTTCATGCGTTTAGAGTCTAAGCAATGCATCTTGACTTGAGCTTATCCTGCACGTAGCCCAACAGGTACTTGCATCATACAGAGAGAAGACTGCAAAATATCTCAATAGCAAGGGATTTTTAAACCAGTTCTAAGGCTGTTAGTTTGCACCATGCCCACCTGCACAAAACTACACCAATGCAAAGCCAATACAGAAAGTGTTCTCTCTGTACCAGGACAGTCTGCCAAGGATCCTGTTAATTATTTTTGTTTTTTTCTTTTTTTCCTCCCTGAGGTGCCATTCTATTAGAGAGCACGTAATTACAGCCTGAGGAACCCTGCCACTTCATATTAGCTACGCAGGGAATTCCTCAGAACATCTAAGTGGTGGGTTGTACTTTACAAAATAGCCTAAATCCAAAGCTGCAGAAGCCATGCTTTTACAAATGCTCAGCTGGAGTTCTGCTGCATAACTCTGACTCAAAAAGATCTTTCCTCACTGCACTGAGAACCCTTGTAATTAAGCTCTGACATTTCCAGTAGCAAAGAAAAGAGACGGGTATCATATTTAGTCAAAGTGCAGTAAAAAAAGACAAATGGATGCTCAAATGGTCAGCTTTGCACCTCAGTAACCTAACGTAAAAACAAGAATAACCACAACGAATCATCAGGTCCAAGTAGCTTATGCTAGAAAGGCAGCAGAATCGGGCTACTTCTGCTTCTTACAGACATACATACAACTGTAATCCAAATTGCTGTGCTTCTGCAGGCCTTGCTCCATATTAGCTGCATATTTATAACAGTAAATAAAACGTCTGCCTGTCCTCGGCTTTATTTCTGGAACCTACACCTCCCAAATTACTAGCTGTGCTGCAGAAGGAAAGAAAAAAAAGCTCTTCACTTCTGATATACAAAATTAAACTTTTGTTCATTCTGTAATCATCATGTTGATGCAATTTCTCCCTTATAAAGACTGTTAACTAATCAGTGCAAATTTAATTCTAAACTAAACAGCCAGCTGTAATCATTCTGCATTGCTTTCACCCTCGGAATTCTTAGAATTTAAAAAACAAAATTCCACAAGAAAGTGTCACTGCACTTCAAGTTTAACAAGCAGAACTGTGCACTACAACATTCCAGCAGCATTTTTGTTCACTGTTTGCAAAAGGATTAAAAAATTCAAATGAAGGCTACTTAAGTCCCAAGTTGCAGCACTGTGATATTATAATGCAAGATGAACCCAAATGACTAAGAAATAGAAATACGCTTGTAATTTAGTGAAGAGGTGAAAAATGTACCAAGAAACAAAACAGATCTCACTGCAACAGGCAAAACTGAAAAACCATTTTTAGAAGGGCCATCTTCTCTCCTTTGGGCTTCTAAACCCATCTCCCATAGGTGCACTCTACATTGTGAGTAAGGTGGCTCTCTTTCCAACCCTCCACAGTTTACTGTAACTTTATGCAGCTGCTCAGTTTTCCAGAGCCATCACGTTGTATTTAAAAGCAGAAAGAGCCAACAGCTGCCACTGAGGTGCAGGGGGTCAGTGGGCCTATGCAGTCTTCCTAAAAATTAGTATGTAGATGGAATGCCTTCTTTAGCATCAAATGAATTTACATGGACTGCACCATGCAGACTGAAGTAAAGAAATTCCATTCCCTGCTCGCAAAATATGGTGAGACTGAATTTTTGATAGAGCCAAACTCCCGTAGAAGCAACGATTCTTGTGTCTGAGCAAGTGCCATTACAATCACTTGGTTGGCCATGGCACAACACTTGAGCAACAAAACACACCAAAAAGGAAAAGCAGAACAGTTTGGCTCACACTGCCTTAGCTCAAACGAGACAACTTTTCTTAAGCTTCAACAGCCTGGGTCACAGAAGACCAAGGACAAAAGTCAAATTTAAAACTGCTTGGCCACTAAAGCCCATTTGAAAAAGATTCTCCAATGTCACACTTGTCAGTCCTTCTGTGTACCTTTACTGGCCTGTATTTTCACTCACCTCTGAGTGTTGTCCCAGTGAAAGATTAAACGCACGGTAGCAGCATGTCCCCAGCTTTCTCCTGCATAACAAAAATGACCTTTTATTCATCTCCTTTAAAAAACTGCAGCTTCATAAACTGAACTGAAATTAAACCAGTCTACAAAAAAAAAAAAAAAACCAACAACAACAACACACCCTAAAACCATGATTAAGCACATGTATCTTTCTTGCAGAAACAACTCCCATCTTTTTCATACATACCAGGATTTCACATCTAGTTCAAAACAATGAATAATCTCTGTGTCTTATAGAAAGCTTGATGCAACACCTCTGTATCTGTAGAAGAAATGTGCATTTACCTCATAAAGGACAGGTACTAGACAAATCCTGAAAACAGAGCCACTGCGAAGAAAAGATCTTTCTTATTACTGTAAAGAAGTCTAGGTAGTATGTCTAAATCCTACTTCAAAATTGTGGCATTCCCTCTCTCAAGCATAATTATGAGCAAACATCACTCCCTTTGGGATACGTGCTTTGGGAGAAAGTCAATGATTATTAAAGTATTAAGGGCCCCTGAAGCAGTCTTCCACTTCTGACAGAAGAATGCAAAAGAACACAACCGTAAGTGAAGGGAAAAGAAAAAAAGAAGCTAGTTTGGAATGTTACTGCATTTCATGGGAAATGGTCCTACTGCTTCAGCTCACACCTGGCAAGCTCAGACAATTTACAGACAGATTTATTGGGTGTTTTTCTCTGTTTATCCCGTGAGACATTCAGCAGTCTGAAGATGGATTAGATTTTAAAAGAGTCGTTTGGGTTAAGTGCTGCAAGCCTGCACACAGCTCTAACTTCTGAATCACTTATTTGTTGGATCTCCATCATGTCAACAGGCCCACATGCCCTGTGTGCTCTGGTATTCATTAAAGCACGGAGAAGGAAAAACATGATTCAATGATAGGGAAGACCTGGACCCTCCAGGCGTCTTGCCAGACTCTGTTCCATTATACTGAAATTGAGATTAGAGATTTTGGTTATCAGATACAGTTCTGAGTCAGAGATCAAAACACATTTTACAATGGGTATAAATTCCACACCAGCATGTTTCCAGCTATATTGAATATGAGAGAAAAATGCTACCGTAAAATGAGACATTTCTGAGTTAAAACTGTTTGCAGATTAATATTTGACCTCTTTTCTAAATATATCGAGTAGAAATGTCTAGGAACAGCCAGCTTAGCTATCACTAGTGAGAAAGAGAGCTGCCTTCTAGAAGGCTTTGACTTAATACCTTGCAGCATCTGTGCTTTTTTTCCCCCATCATAATTAAGAACTTCCCTTCTGCTAGGAAGATGAGTAAGAGTTTAGAGATTAATGTTCTTGTAAAATCTTAGAAATTTCTAAGGCTTACCAGTCAATGAGGGGAAAAAAAAATATGTAGGGGAGGCAGTAGGATTGGTTTTACTTGGAGTTTTGCTCCTGACCCACCACTCAAAAGCTTCTTGGCTAAAAGCAACCATAGAAAAGTATGAGGTTCTTCAGCCTTTACAATGAGGCTTTTGAAACAGCCTCCCTTAAGAGTGGGTCATAAAAACCATCCTGTAATCCATCAGCTCAATGCTTGTACTGAGTCTTTGGAATAAATTCACATCCAACTGAAAAGAGCTTTGGACCACTCCAAAGTACTCAACTTGAGATATTGCTGTTTAGGATGAGCAGAATACCTCCTCACTTGAATCTTTTACCAGCTGCTACAAACCCTCAATTTTGCAAGAGTACATCCTATTTAGTTTAGCTACACCATGTGGTTATGCATATTCTGGTGAGAGTCACAATCAGTTTATGGGCAGTAGGAAGTTATGTCAAATTACACGTTTGTGAAAATAAATACATGCACCAGACAATACCTGATGTCTTTGAGTTATAGCCTACTCTGAATCCTTTCACACTCCTTACTGTCCCTATGACTTAAACACAACGGATCTCAAACACTGCTGGTTATTATTTTTTTTTTAAAGATGGAATCTATCAGCTTTAATTCAGTTTATAGCCAGAAAGGCTGCTAAAAATAACTAATACTTCAGAGAGCAAGAGGCAAAAATGACAAAAAGGGTCAGGTACTGAAAGCTGGTTCTTTATCTGCATGCACAGCTCAAAATTCCACATTCTCCAAGGAGATGATCTGTATTTGTTCATCTTATCTTACATCTCTGCCAAATGGTTCAATGCCTGTACAGACATTGAGAACATCTCTGCTATTGTTCTGTCTCCTTTCTCTCCTTCCTCTGCAGAACAAGAGGTTCATTACTTAGTTCACAAAAACTGAAGCAGTGGACAGATAATTTGTGCCCTTTAACTGCATCACAAAATAATGTAGTTACAACCTGTAAGAAGAAAAAGCTCAGCATTTAACTCCTAATTTGTCTACATCTCTACTTCAGAAGAACTGTTCTATTTTCTATTTGTGTTCTATGACCACAGCAGAAGACTCCATATGAAGTATTCTGTTCATCACAGGGCAAAATGGAATAGTCTAAAAAGAACACTAAATTCACTATGAGCAGGCTGTAGGTAAGGATCCCACACAGAACTTTCCTCTGTATCATAACAGCAGAGATTAATGGATAGATGGTTCCAGCTGTGCACCAAATATGAAACACTTCTGCAAACAGTAAATGGAAACATGTTCAAGTGTAATGGCAAAATAACCAATTTAAATTTCATTGGAGAGGCAGTGGATGATTCTCTGGATAACTTCAGTGTATTCTGAGGTGTGTGACCACTAAGCTGTGGACATGTGTTCTTCTGTTATTGTTTAACTTATTCATCACAGTCCTTCTGGTAGAAGTTTAAAGCCCATACAGCCATTCCTACATTCTTTGTATGATCCATCACCAGCAAGTTTCATCTCAATTACCTCATCTGCCAGCAGCTTACTTATTATTTAAGCAGTGGAAGCTTACCTGGCCCACTTTTGGCAGAAAATGGGTTAGGAGACAAACAAACAGCTCAGCCAGCACAAAGGATGTGGCAGCGACCTCCAGCAGGGCTGATGGCCTCCTTAGCTGACAATGCTGCAGCTGGAATACCTCCACACCTACCATCCTCAGGGGAAAGCTGCAACACATTTGCTGCAGGTCTAAATCTAGCTACTATTCTTAATACCATGTGCTTCTCTTTAGAGTGTGATATTGTCTTCTTAAAGAACACTGATAGATCTAATACAGAGTTTACTAATAACTTTTTGTTGTTGTTCCCGATGCCAAAAGTAAGGAAATCACACACAGTGCAAAAGCTGAACACCTACCTAACGCAGGTACCAACACGGACTGGTTTTGTCCAAACCTTGTTGTCATTTGGTTTGTCAGAACAACCTGAAAGAGGAAACAAGCAAATAAACAACATTTCCAGAAAACAAACACAGTAATGGGAGAGAAGGCTGGCATTTCTGAAAAGTTTTTATCAATCAAGTAGCTACTTGAGCAAAACTCTTGCCAACTGAAATGAAGTGTCTGTGTTAACAAGAAGAAATTATAAAGGTGCCTCATCTTTTCCTCAATAGCCAAAACAAAATAAGAAAACTCTGAAAAACATATTTTCAGCTTGCATGAAAGGAGCATTTATTTCATTCAGGGTTAAATAAAAGTAAAAACAAAACCAACTTCCCCCAAATTTCTTCCTTCCCAAGGGACGTAACTCGTATCTTCCACTGTCTTTGTACTGAATACCATTTGGATCAGTATTTAGATGCACGTCTTGTACTAGTCCTCTATAAAGAGATAACACTTCAGTCACTGTAGTTTAAGTGAACTTGATGCTGCACAAAGCATGTATAAACCCAGTGATTAACAGAATTGCTGCACCTTGTAGTCTAAAAATGCGCAAGAGAGTACAATACAAAGCAGGATGGAAGTGAACAGACAGAGCGGGGGAGTGTTTTCGCAGCACGAATCACTCGTAGGAGGTTCACAGACAGTCTAGGTTAGATCTCTGGTAGAAATGAGGGTGGGTGAGACAGAAAAGAGCCAGGAATATTAATTGCAAAGTTCATTAAAAATGAAAAATAAAAAAAAATGGTATCTATCTTAAACTCCAGGGATTTTCACTGTTTGTTATGCTTGTAGTCAGAAAAGAGCACTGAGCACACGGGGCACATACCAAAACGTTTCTATAGCTGAAAGCCCTGAGACACACCCTGCACATCTGACAAAGGTTCCTCATCCCGAACAGATGATAACAATTCCACCAAGGCTGCCCATCTCATTGTTGGAGAAGGGTTGTTTCTGGGTATTCCAGCACAACCCACTGAGTTCAGCTTTAGAAACTAAAGAAACCTACTTCCTGCCATATCAGAGCACTCAGACTGCCCAGCTTTGCTGTCAGTCAAGCAATTTCTGGCATGCCAGCTGAATTTAATTCCACATAGCTCGCAAACAGTCTAACTCAAATACTAACAAGAAGGTCACTGAACTAAACCATTTCTGAAGCTCTGTGATTGATTACTTCTTTATCAAGTGTTTATTTAGCAACTGTTTGTACTAAACTGCTCACTTGTTCAATAGAAAAGTTATGTTTCCCTTGAACAAAGAAAAAAAAGCTATACAATGACAACCACTCCCTTTCAAGGTCACCAGGTACCCAATTTATGAGTGAAAGCACTCAAAACAGGAGGCTGTGCCAACAAAGCAGTCACATACCATTTGTCTCCCTTGGTGCCCACACCAAAAGGAGGAACCTTCATAATTCACATCACGAAGGAGAGGGGGAAACACTTTCAGCAGTAAGCACAATCACTGAACCAAAGCAGAATGTGGAGCTGTGCTCCTTCTCTTCCTGCAGCTAACAGAGGATGCACAAGGGAAGGCTTATTTTTAGCAGTTACGAACAAAAGCCAATTGCATGAGAGAGTTGTGGGCGACAAGGAAGCAAATCACCTGGAAACAGCTACAGGAGCAAGCACCATTTTGAGACTGTGTAAGCTCTAATTCCTGAACAATGCTTTTCTGTACTTCAAAAGACTTGTCAAAACAACTTCTGGAACAGATGCAGCTTCTGAGTGCCATCTGCTGGCTACCCGGCTGCACCTTGGTGGGCCTCCATACCAGCACAAATGGTGTAGCAACAATGCCCAGGAAGGAAGCAGCAACGGGTTTCCATGGGTGCCAAAACAGCAAACCAAACTCCAGCAGATAATTGTTTTTCCTTCCTAGGAACAGATTTATTTTTAAACTAACAGGAGTTGTAACTGCTAAATATTCCAAAGTATTTTATTGCGTGCACTTTGCAGGCAGAAAATAGTAAAGAAGCATTCTATTTCCAACCATGTCCTGAAAGAAGATTATGTGAAATAATGAAAAAAATGACATGGTAGGATTTGAGATTCCCAGGACACTTTTTATTCAATTTTTACTTATTTTGGCAAGACCACAATTTTTCCATCTACCCAGTTTTGCCTGTGCTACCCATCTATACTTCCAATCAAACTGACAAATGTTATAGTTAAGGACATCCCATCAACTTTAATTTAATTTAGACAATTACAAATCACACTGGCTTAATTCTTTCTTATGTATCTATTCCCAGGTAACTCTTTTATGATGTAACTCTGCCCCAGACCTACCGCTGATTTATGATCATTTGCTATGATGATCAGCTGCTGTGCCAGACCATTCAAAAGCCGTGTTCGAAGTGAGAGGTCCTCAAAGTCATGGCGAAAGGGAAATGCAATTCCATCAATTACCACCAGTCGGACCTAAATATAGAAGAAAAGGAAAAAAATGACCATTGCTTTCAAAATAAAGAGCTGTAAGATTCCTTCTTAAGAGCTTCGGAATGTTTTATATAAGGTAATGTTATTTGATGCTCTGATGTATGTGACAGCACAACACTTACTGATATTGGAGGCAAACAGCAGCGTACAAAACAGCACAGAGTAAAGAGTCCTAAGCTCCAAACACACTGGGTAAGTGCAGTACTGCATTATGCACAGACAAGCTCAGATTGCATCTGCATTAACTTGAACAAAATGTTGCTCTAAACCTTTCCATTATTTAATTCAGAGCAGAGCTGCTCTTCCAACTCTTTCCAGTTTCAAATCTCATTCACTTAAAGCTCACTTATCTCTGGTACAGAATACAAAATGACAAAGCTGGACTTAAGGCCCTGAAGAAAAGCTGTAGAGGAAAATCAGAAATGTACTTTTGTCAACTCTCCACAAACACTATTTTATTTTACCTTCTACCTCAAAAAATGAAGTCCAAACCACAGCTAGAAAACATGCTGTTTGCAGTCATTGTTAAGATCATCAGATTCTGTGGATCCTGTCTGTTCCGAAAACATGCATTTTAACAGATGCCTAAAGATATTCCAGATGCTATGTAATGGAGCTGAGTATCTGCCTTGCCTGGAGATGTTTGCTTTGCTGAATTATTACTTCTGTAGTGATCGTTAGTTGAAGGTAGAATAAAATGCTGCTGCAGGCTCATCACACTCGAGACACCATGCAAACATTAGTGTGGGATTTTGATTTATACTAACTTCATTTGTTGTAGCTGTTCTGATGACACAAATTCTTCTGAAATACAGAAGGGAGATGGATTGCCCCAGTGTTCACATGTTGTCTCTAAAATCCCAAATATCTACAAGTTCTTACATTAACGTACAAGACAAGCTGGAAAAAAAGAACATTCTGATTTTCTGTACTATTGATTTAACTTGTTACAGGAAAGTAGCTTTGTGGCTGGAACATACAAGCCTGCAACAAATATCATGCTGTGAAATGGCCCCGAGGCTCCAACTGAAAAAAAACCCAACAAAAAAACAAAGAACGCCAAATAGTTAAAACTAAAATATGATGTTCTCCTGTTAAAATTCTTCTCCTTTCTGCAAATTCATTTCTATGAGCCTGTTCATCTTCCTCAAGTAATTTTTTGACTGGAAAAAAACAATCAGTTTAACAATCTGAGCATGACTCATACTAGAAGGGAATGTTTACATAGCTCAATTACTTTCCTATCAAATTAATATAGTGAGGTAAGATGTAATTTAGTTTACTTTCTCCTGGTTGCATTTGTTACAAAATAGCAAATAATATGGCCTAGTTCTGCTTTAGATCTACTCAAGAAAGCTTGATAACACCTACCTTTCACACATGCCAGTTTGCCTTTACATGACATAATGAATTATGTTTATTATGACAATGACATTTTCTAACTTTTTTTCATATTATTGGTATTTTTCATACCAACTAGCTCTCGAAGTAATGCATGTTACCCATTGTCTCTCTCTTACAACTACGTATCCTCTTATTGGAGGTCTTCCAGTAGTTCCAATCTCAGCACCAGATCTGCAGACGGATCACACTAATTTTAATGAGATCTGGACTTCAGTTAGCAATCTGTCAAGTCACTTATAGCCTGTCCAAGGAATCACCAGAAGGTCATACAGTTTTCCTGCAACCTTCAGTATTTCAGGCTCCAGGCCAAGCATTGATAATCAGCACAGATGGCACCAAAGAACTGCAGCCCAGCGTAACTGTGCTAATGAAGCCATGTACTTTCCACAAGAGCAAACACAACAGGGCACCGTTAGTAACTGGCAGAGAAAGGGAAATACCAGACTATACTAAGCAAAAGTAAGACTCCCATCTGTGCTTTCAAGATCATAACAGCTTCCAAAAATGGAAATGAGATGCAAAACACAATTCAACTAAACAACACTGATTTGTGCTCTGATGCAATGAGGCAGAAGTTTTGTTCTCCAAATCCTGCTAGGGAGCGATCTGCTATGTAGAGATCTGCCATGCAGAATCTAGAAATCTGGGAAGGAGGTGGAGAAAATCTGCCTTGCTATAGCACTCCACTAAGAAATAGATACTAGGCAACTTTTTGGCTGTGGTCCACCCAAGAGTTAAGCTGCAGGCTTTCGTTGCTTGTAGCAACAGAAGATGTACTGGAAAGAAATCAGAGTCACTTTCTGGATGCCAAGATGTACAGGATGCTTTCGGTTCTCCTTCTGGGAAGAACAAACTGGCACTAGGTCATTCTGACCCCCTGCACAGTAGCCACATGCAAACAGCTCAGACTCCTGTACAGCAGTTTTGTGGTGATTTTTACTTTAGTGATCGAAGAAATATAACCTTTGTGGCAATGCAGACCCAGTACCTTTACCTGAAATTAGAGATTCAGGATGGTGGCAGCATTGGTAATCAAAGTTAATTACTCTCAAGAGTCATTGGGACTGGAACAGAAAGCAAACAAGTAAGCAAACTTCACGTTTGTACTCTGGCATCAGCCAATGCATTATTGCTAAGCTGATGAAGTACCAATGTGTTACTCTTATTATATCAGAGGAATATTCCTGAAAGCATCTAATGCAAAAATGAGTGTTATCTTCAGGTAACTCCATGATAACCCTTACCTTTCAGTTCTGCAATAACTCTTACCTTTGAGTGTTCTGAAAGAAAGTCTGGGAGCAGATAGACCTGTGCTAGAAGCTCTATGTAGTCACGGCAACGGAAGTAATATATGTGAGAAAGGATACTTTCAAGAGAAAAAGTCTCCAAAGCTTTTAGATGATCTGAGAATAAACAGACAAATAACCAAGTCAACAACCTGTAGGTACTAGCATATGCTGCCCTAATTATTCTACCATTCCATGTATAGCAACAATAGCAGCAAACCTCCCAGAAACTGCTAAGATAAACCAGTGAAGGTAAAGAGTGTGGGAAACATATCTTCCATCTGGTTTGAAAGTCAGGAAGGTAGCGAGCAGATGCTCGCTCAGCGTTAGCACACAGATACACTGGGGCCTCCAAGGAAGTGCTCAAAAAATGAAAAATTAACATATGAAAAAGAACTCTTCAATCACTTTCAAACCAGAGCACCACAATGAAACATCACACAGAAAAAAAGTTACTCTTAGATGAGATCAGCTCAGTCTGCAGTATGGCTCTACAGTCACACTGACGCAGTTCTGGGTATGATACATAGAGATGGAAGTAAGAGGCTGGCAGCAAGAACTGCTTAAGCAAGCACTGCTACTGAAACCCTTCAACTGCAAAATTCACTCTTTGGAAATGGCCCACTAGACAGAAATAAATGATTTAGCAACGTACCATCTTCTTGATGAGCTTCAGCAATAAGCTGGCAATGCCGCACGCAGGCAGTTGCAATATCTGCTGCTCTGTCTACCATAAAACTGCCTTCAGTATCAATGAACACTGCTTCCCCAGCTACACCCCCAAAGCATTCCGGGATCTGGACGTCCACTGCCAACTGCATACTGTCATGGAAAACAAAGATAAAAAGATAAATACATACATTACAAATCTCCCCCTCTGAACTTGTTACATTTCTACTAAGGAATAGGGTCAGCAATAGGAAGGAATAGTGCCACGATAACAAGATGAACTCTCACTATCCTTAAATTCAGCAAAGAAAAGTGATTCTCAGTTGCACAGAACTAATCTAAAAAAAAAAAAAAAAATACCATAGTTGTGTTTTCCCAACACCAGGTGCTCCACAGATCTCAGTAATTTTTGTCAGTTGCACACCACCTCCCAGAATGTTGTCCAGTGCTGAACAAAAGGTGATGATGAAGCCCTGTGCTTGTTCTTCTTCCAGAAGTTCCAGAGCTGTGCACTTCCTGGTGCTGCCTGACCCCCCAGCCGCCTTTGCTGCATCACCAGCACATTCCTGCCTGACAACCTGTAATGCTTCCAGCGCCTCTTCTTTGGAGATCCCAATTTCTAGAAAAAGCAAAGTCGTGAGAAGTTACTTTGTTTTTACAAACAATTTATTTAGAATACAAAAAGAAAACACAGCTTGTTTGGCAGAACCTGATACTTCTGCTGCGTGACACAGAATTATTAATCTTTTTAGCATAAAATTCACACAGCTTGCCAACACATTCAGAACTAACGATCCGATCTGCAGAACTTGGAGCAGCTGAGGCATCAGGAGGCAACGTGCAATCTGCAAAACGGCCGTCCACAGCCACGCTTAGGATAGGGGAAAGCAATTCACCTACTGTGCAGTGAGCGTGCTGCTGAATTAACCTCGTCTGAAGCAAGAAAGTGGCTGAGAGCAGTCGGGCTGCAGGCCGGTGGGCAGCAGCAGCACCCACAGATCACAGCGAGCAGCGGGGCAGCGCAGGGCTGAGCACAGCACTCAGATCTGAAACACAGCAGTGCCTGCAAGTGTCTTCACATGCTTACAACCTGTTACCACCGAGGGCCGCCGAGCAGACTGACAGGCAGACTTCAGCCTCCTGAAAAGCAGTTCTTAGAACTTCGCATAGGTCCATCTCGTGTAACGTGTGCAGCTAAGAGGAGGAACGTGACTGTTTTATTTCCCAGTGCTTATCCTCAGTATAACCAGTGACCATTTCCCACTCCCTGGAGGTGCCCCAGGTCCCCCAGGGAAGCTGCCACAGCAGAAACCCCAGGACGGGCAACACGCTTCAGCCTTTCAAGGTGCTTAACGAGCACTGAGCCCTGACACGAGCACTGAGCCCTGACACGAGCACAGCCCCGCCGCAAGGCGCTTCCAGCTCCCGCACGGGAAGCGCGCCGAGCCGAGGCACGGAACGGCCTGCAGGCCGGGGAGAGCCCGCCCCGCGCCGGTACCTTTGCTCAACCCGCACGGACCGGTCTCCAGCAGCTCCTGCGCTGTTTGGAAGCCGGCGGCCAGCAGGCGGGCGCGCAGCGCGGGGCTCAGCGGCAGGCTGCCCACGTCCCGCTGCATGCCGCGCACACCGCCCCGCGCGGCGCCAGCGCGGCTCTGACGGAGCGGCCCGTGCGCATGCGCGATGGGAAGGAATGGGGGGGGGCGGTGAGGGAAGTGTCTGCGCACGCGCGGGTTGTGGAGGCGCGAGGCGCGTGGGCACGTGACCGGGGCTGCGGCCGTTGGGCGGTGGTGGCGCGAGGCCGTGAGGGAGCGGTGAGGAGCGGCGGGTTTGGTGGCCGTGCGGACGGGAATGGATCAAAGAGCGGCGGTGCCGAGCTAGCCATGAGCCAGAAGCGATGCCGGCTCTGTTCCGTGTTAGCTCGGATGCCTACGCGGCTCTCTGGGTGGCCCGGTGGCCTCCTGTGCCATCTGCTCTTAGCAAGGCTCTGCCCGAGCTCGCAGGCCGCGCTCAGGCGGCTCGGAGCAGCCAGCAGCCGCACCGTGCTGATGGCCGTTCTCTCTGTGTTGGCAGGGCTTTCAGCCGCTGCTGACAGCTTCACCTCCTGAAGTTCTTGAAGCCTGAGGTAACCTGGAGCCGTGGCACTGCGCAGCCTGCCCTCGTGCTGAAGGAGGAGGATGGCTCACGTGCTGCCTCTGCCCATTCCCTGCCCTGTGCAGCTCGGGAGTTTGAAAGGAGATTCGCTGGAAGCTCAGCTGCACGAGTGTGTCCGGCAGGGGAACTGCGGGAAGGTGAAGAAGCTGCTGAAGAAAGGTAAAAACTCGCTTAGAAAGGGCCTTGCAGAAAAGCTCTGCTTTGAACCGCGTGCTCACATCTGTGTTTAAAGGGGAAAAAAAATACGTAGAATCAGAATGCTGTCCATCAATTCAGTTTTCTTGCGGAGATGCGTTTACAAAAACTGTTACATTTGTGCCTTCTTGGCAAATGGCACTAATTAATAAAATGTGCTTTTGGCTGTAAGGCTTACAGGACCTCAGGCGCAAGTGGTGGAGGTTCTGTAAAACTAAATTCTGGAGATATGCTTTAGGAATGTGCAGAGGGGATCTTAAGTTTTCAGCAGGGCGGTTAAAGTGTGGGTTTAGATATTGGTGTTTTTAATGGGAGGAATGGCACAAATGAACCCTGGTAGTTGGTGCAGTTGTTAAGTAGAAATGTGCCTAAATCCGTGATTCAGAGAGCAGAAAGTGCTGAAGACAGCAACGGAAGGGAAGCAGCATGTATAACACAGGGAGCTTTGGACGTAATATTCTCTAGAGATGGAAGAAATATGACTGTGAAGATTAATTGTAGGCTTGAAGGTAGGTTTTCCTAACTATTACTGGACACTTAAATCTCACGCTCTGATCTCTGAGTGTGACTCCATAGCACGACCGCTTGGCTGTGCTGTCGAGAGCTGCGGGCGCCGCTCCCCGTCGCGTCCGTCTGTGCGAAGCCGCCCTCCAGCAGGGGGCGGTGTCCCCGCCCCTTCCTTAGAGTGGCGCTTCTGATTGGTCGGCCGGGGCGGAACATGCAGATGAGGGCGCGTGTCCGATCTGCAGCGCCGCGCTTTTGGGGTTCCCGCACCGGGGCCGGGGGGCGGCGTGAGCGCGGGTGTGTGCGGGGGGGGGCGGTGCAGGGCCTGGGGCGGGAGTGGGGCTTGGGGGCAGCGGTGTCCGTGAGCTGCAGGGCGGTGCGCAGCGATGGGGTGCGCGGCGTG